GGTATTTGCAATGATCTTGGGTATGACGTGCATCTGTATACATACAAATGGTTAAAATAGTGAATTGTTATATTTTACTAAAATTCAAAAAGTAAAAAAAAATAAACATAAATGAAATGCTTCAAAAGCACAGGGCAAAATAGAAAAAAATTGACACATTGGATTTCATATAAATTAAAAACTTTTGTACATTAAAGGATATTCTCAATGGTCACAAAGGCAACAGACAGAAAGGGAGAAAAATCTTGTTAAATTACATATCATATTAGGGATTAATATCCAAAGTATAAAGAGAATTCCTAAAATTCAACAACAAAAAAACAAACAACTTAATTAAAAAATAATCAAAGATGAATAAACATTTCTCCAAAGATCACATATGAATAGTGAAAAGTGCATGAACAGATGCTTGACATCACTAATTAGGATAATGAATGCAAATCAAAACCATGAGACACGACTTGTTACTCATTATAATGATGATTATTTTTAAAAGTAATAACAACATGCATTATGGGAGATGTGGAAAAATTGGAATCCTTGTGCACTGGAAGTGAAAAAGTAAAAAATGTTGCAGTTGGTATTAAAAACACTAAGGTGATTCCTCAAAAGGACATGGATAAACCCAAGGGGGAGGGTGAAAGCAAGGGAGGGAGGTGGGTCTGGAGAGGGTGGGGGAGGGGTGGGAAGAAAATACAGACAACCGTAATTGAACAACAATAACATAATTTAAATGAAAATAAAAGAAATTCAGGGATAATTTACATTTTAAAATCCAAAAAATAAAGAAAAGACAAGTAATATGTAAAAAAATTAAACATAGAATTACCACATAATCTAACAATGCCACTTCTGGATATATACCCAACAGAACTGAAGCCAGGGCGCAGACAGCTATCCTTATACTCCTGTTCATAGCAGCATTATTCACAGCTGGCAAAAGTGGAAGCAACCCAAGTGTCCATTGACACATGAATTGATAAACAAAATTTGGTTTAAACTTATAATGGAATGTTACTCAAGCCAGTGAAAAACAACAAATACTGTCTGATTTCACTCCTATGAGGCACATAGGGTAGTCTAATTCATAAAGAAATGGTAGAATGATGGTTACCAGAGGCTGCATAAAGCAGGGGAGGGGAGACTACTAATTAATGGGAACAGACCTTTAGTTTTACAAGGTGAAAAATGTTCCAAAAACAGATGACAGTGATGGTTATACACCAATGTGTCACGCCAGTGGACTGTATATATACAAACGGTTAAAATAGTGAATTTCATTATATATATTTTACCAAAATTTAAAAAGTAAAAAAAATAAACAAATGAAATGCTTCAAAGAGAAGCATCTGATAATGGCAGAGCTTAAGCTAGTGCAATACAGATGAGTGAATGCTTCAGACCTGCTCAGATACTTAGGTAATTAAAATTAGGGAGGGTGCACGTTTCTTTCAAAAGTTTCTCCATTGCCTTCTTAGGAAACCCAGTAACTGCTAAGGGGCTGAGTCATGAGGAGTATCACTCCTATTTACAATGCTGAAGCTGGTTTACAAGGATTTTACTTGAAGCATTCATCTGCCAAGAGTCAAGAGTGTTAACAATTTTCCTTTCCAAAAAGGATAATTTCTGTTCTTTGTGTTTTGAAAGTAGGCTAACAAATTAGAGAAACTCGTTGACTAGCAAATACTAATGATTCCAATTGTCACGCTGACATTTTCTTATTTTCTGAGTAAATATAACCATAAAAGTTACCTGTAAAAACATTATAGAAATGCATTCTAGAAAAGTAAAACAATCACAATTACCAAATGTGTTAAATAAAACAAGAAATTATTTTAAAATGCATATGTGGATTTACCTCCCTTAATGTAGTATATACAATGAATTCTGTCCAGAAAAAGTTCAGCCATTGTTAATATAACAAAAATAGTTTGCATACCATCCATGTAACCTCACAGCCAAGGAAGAGTGGACTGGAATGAATGCACATGCATGAGCAATGACGACTTTGCTGTACTAGTCAGTGAGGGGCAGTAGATGCTGTTGAGTGGGCATGTGTACTATGTGGCTGTCCTATTCAAAATGATACAGAGTAGGGCAATGAATCTGCACCACATTTTGCATTAAATGAAAACATTCCTCCACAGAAACTACTCAGATGATTCAGAAGGCCACAGCTCTGGGTAACTGGTGATTGGCAGCTTCATCACAACAACATCCCCACTCATGCATCATGTCTCATGGAAAGTTTTTTTGAGAAACATCAAATCACCCAAGTGACTTGGGCTCCCTATATCCCTGATTTGGTGCCCAATGATTTGGCTTTGTCCAGAACTAAAATCACTTCCCTTTGAAAGAGAAGAGATTTCAGATCATTGATGAGATTCAGGAAAATATGATGGGGCAGCTGAAGGCAATTGGGAGAACTGTGTGAAGTCCCAAAGCACCTAACTTGAGGGGACTGGGGCATCATTGTCCTATGTACAATGTTTCTTGTATCTTCAATAAATGTCTCTATTTTTCACATTACTTGGCTGGGTACCTTCTGGACAGACCTCATACATGAGAGGGTATATAGATCATTTTTCTTTCTAAAAGACTAAGGCCATTGTCTTCTTCTTGTTGTGAAAGCAGTGTTCAACTAAAATGTATTGACTTCTTACATGTAAGTATGTGGAACATACTCAAGCTAACTATACAAGTAAAGTAATGGAATTATTTGAAAACTACCCAATTAAAAAATGGGAAAAAGATCTGAACAGACACTTCTCCAAGGAGGACATAAAGAGGGCCCAGAGATATATGAAAAGATGTTCAAAATCACTAGCCATCAGAGAGATGCAAATTAAAGCCATGATGAGATACCACTTTACACCAGTCAGGATGACCATCATAAACAAAGCAACAAACAACAAATGTTGGAGAGGTTGTGAGGAAAGGGGACCCTAGTTCATTGTTGGTGGGATTGCAGACTGGTACAACCACTATGGAAAACAGTATGGAATTTTCTCAGAAAAATAACAATCGACCTGCCTTTTGACTCAGCATTTCCACTGCTAGGATTATATCCTAAGAATCCTAAAACACCAATCCAAAAGAACCTATGCACCCCAATGTTCATAGCAGCACAATTTATAATAGCCAAGAGGTGGAAGCAACCTAGGTGCCCTTCAGTAAATGAATGGGTCCAAAAATTGTGGTACATATACACAATGGAATTCTATGCAGCAGAAAAAAAGAAGAAGCTCCTACCCTTCACAATAGCATGGATAGAACTGGAAAGCATTATGCTGAGTAAAATAAGCCAGGTGTTGAAAGACAAATACCATATGATCTCACCTTTAACAGGAAGCTAAACAACAAAACAAACGAGCAAGCAAAATAAAAACAAAGACACTGAAATAGAGAACAGGGGGACAGCGACCAGAGGGGAGAGAAGAGGAAATTTCAGGGGGAAAGGGTTTACAGGAACTAGTATAAATGACACATGGACAACAACTAAGGGGAGTGGGAATGGGAGGGAGGTGGGGAGCACTGGGGGGTTGGGCTTGGATGGGAGTAAAACACAGAAAACTGTACTTGAACAATAATTTTTTTTTAAAAACCCACAATGAGATACCACCTTCCACCAGTGAGAATGGCCTTCATAAACAAATCAGCAAACAAGTATTATAGAGCATGTGGAGTAAAGCAAACCCTAGTGCATAGTAGACTGGTGCAGCTACTATGGAAAATAGTACCGCATTTCCTCAGAAAACTAAAAATGAAACTGCTTTTTCACCTAGCATTCCCACTGCTGGGATTATACCCTAAGAATCCTAAAACACCAATTCATAAAAACCTATACACCCCAATGTTCATAACAGCACAATTTACAATAGCCAAGCACTGGAGGCAACCTAGGTGCTGATCAGTAAATGACTGGATCAAAAACTATGGTGTATTTACACAATGAAATTCTATGCAGGAGAGAGTAAGAAGGAGCTCCTACCCTTCACAACAGCATGGATGGAACTGGAGAGCATTATGCTGAGTGAAATAAGCCAGACAGTGAAAGACAAACGCCATATCCTCTCACCTTTAACTGGAACCTAATCAGTAAAACAAACAAGCAAGCAAACTATGACCAGAGACATTGAAATTAAGAACAATCTGACAGTAACTAGAGGGGAGGGGAGAAAAAAATAATTGGGAGAAAAGGGGGAAGGGTTTTCAGGAACAATTACAAAGGATTCATGGACCAAACCAAAGGGGATGGTGGAATCAGGGGAGGGAGGTGGAGCTGGTTGGGGTGGAGGGTTGGGGGGGTAAATGCAGGCAACTGTAATTGAACAACAATAAAACAATTAAATTAAAAAATAATAAAAACTAGCCTTGAACAATAGACAGATAAATGGTAAAATTCATGCTACTTTTTAATTTTTTTCTATACTTAGTTTGACATTAAATAGCAAATTAAAACACTACGGTTATTCATAAGAAAAGAAAACACAACTTTAAGAACCACAGATCTAGCAGAAATGCTACAATATTGCCAAGTAAACCTTCAGTTCACTCTTGATAGCTTTTACTACCTTACTGGACAGTGACAGTCACCCAGTACTTTTGATTCTATACCCACTTGCAGTTATTAATCCCTTATTTGTTCACTAAATTGTGATTTAGACATTGGAAAGGGAATAACAGATTTGAAGACCCTTTAAAATGTGCTAAGTCTTACAAACACAAAAAACTGGGGCAGAAAAGAACTAGTATTAGCAGCTTTGGTGATAGGAGCTGTAGAATTGTGAACCCAGAAAGGGAGGTTAATTGCTGTGAGCAGTGGAAAAGAATGACAAATGCCCAGAAAAAAGTGAGCACTGAAAAAGGCTCTAGAGGAGACCATCAGAATTAATGATCTATTATTAGCTTTCAGGATAATACTTAATAAATGACCAAGATTGCCTTAATGTCCTCCTCAGCTGCACTAAATTTTATTTATTTATTTTTCTTTCTTTTTTTAAAATATGGAATGCTTCACAAGTTTGCTTGTTATCCTTGTGCAGGGGCCATGCTAATCTTCTCTGTACTGTTCCAGTTTTAGTGCGTGTGCTGCCAAAGCAAGCACAGCACTAAATTTTAGACAAGCTTCTCATGACTATAGGTCCCTGACATTCATTTAAGAAAACTTGCAAATATATTTTCCCTACCCCTATGAGATACAAATTTTCTTCCAGCTTCTTGCCAGACTTATGTCCAAGATATATCTTTCTCAATAACCTAGGAGCCATTCCAGTAAAATAATAAACACATAAGGGTCTCTATCATCCCTAACAGCCTCAGCAATCTTCAGAGCAAAGAACCGAGTTGAAGGTATCATGCTACCTGATGTCAAACTATATTACAAGGCCATAGTCATTAAAACAGCATGGTGCTGGCATAGAAAGGAACATATAAATCAATGGAACAGACAAGAAAGCCCAGAAACAAACCTACACCTAAATGGTCAATTAATATTTGACAAGAGGAGCAAAAACATACAATAAACACAGTCTGTCGAATAAATGCTGCTGGGAAAATTAGACAGGTACATAAAAAAAAAAAAGAAAAAGAAAAACTAGGCCCTGGCTGGTGTAGCTCAGTAGATTGAGCACAGGCTGTGAACCACAGGGTCGCTGGTTTGATTCCCAGTCAGGGCACATGCCTAGGTTGCAGGCTAGGTCCCCCCAGTGGGGGCCACATGAGAGGCAACCACACATGGATGTTTCTCTAACTCTTTCTCCTTCCCTTCCCCTCTTTCTAAAAATAAATAAATAAAATTTTAAAAAAAAGATTACATTAAAAAAAACTACACCACCTTCTTACACCATACAGAAGAATTCAAAATAGATTGAAGATTTAAATTTATCTATATCAAACTAAAAAGGTTTTGCACAGTGAAGGAAATCATCACCTAAATGCAAAGACAACCTACTGAATAGGAGAAGACAGTTAACAATGATATATCCTATAAGGGGTTAATGTCAAAAATTTATAAAGAACTCATACTACTCAACACCAGGGAGACAATTCAATTTAAAAATGGGCAGAGAATCTGAATAGGTCCTTCTCCAAAGAGGACATATAGATGCCAAACAGACATATGCAAAGATGCTCAACATCACTAATCATCATACAAATGCAAAATAAAACCACAATGTGATATTGCCTCAAACCTGTCAAAATTGCTGTCATCAATAAATCTGAAAATGACAAGTGTTGGCAAAGATGTGACGAAAAGGGAAGCCCCATGCACTGTTGGTGGAAATAGAGATTGTTACAGCTTCTATAATAAAATAGCTTGAAGGGTCCTCAAAAATTAAAATCCAAACTGCTTTATAACCTAGTGATTCCATTTCTGGGTATTTATCTGAAGAAACCCAAAACACTAATTTGAAAGAATATATGCACCCCTACATTCACTGCAGCCCTCTGTACAACGTTCAAGATGTGGAAAGCAACCCAAGTGCCTTAAATAAACAAGTGGATAAAAAGGTGGTGGTACATATATACAACAGAATATTACTTGGCCATTAAAAAGACAACATGAATTGACCTAGAGGAATATTCTAGGTGAACTGAGCCAATCAGGGAAAGACAAATACCACAAGATTTCACTAATATGTGGAATCTAAAGAGCAAAATAAACAAGCAAAACCAAAACAGATGCATAGATCCAGACAGCAGGCTGATGGTTGCAAGAGGGGAGGAGTTTTGGGAAACTGGAGAGAGAGGTGAAGGGATTAAGAAGTACAGATTGGTAGGTGCAAAACAGTCACAGGGATGTAAAGTATATCATAGAGAATACAGTCAATAATATTGTAATAACTATCTACGGTGCCATTTGGGTACTAGATATATTGGGGGAACACTTGTAAAGTATATAAATGTATAACCACTATACTGTACACTTGAAACCAATAAAAGTAATATTAAAAGTAACTGTAATTGAAAAATTAAAATAAAAACAAAACAAAAGGGTCTCTCTCTCCCAGTCTTTGTGGGAGGGTAAGCACCTAACATCAATAAGCACAAATTAGCAAACACAGACAGCCTAGTCACATAGCCCAGACTCTGCTCCAAGGTCCCTCCTAGAGTACTTTTACACTGTCTCACTCCAGCACTTTAAAAACATGCTCACCTTTCGTTTCAATGGAATTAAGTTTCTGTTCTGTTGCAATAGTTTTGATCCTTTTGCGATAGTATTGAATAATCTTGAATGCCTGTTTTAACAAACATCCCACAATGTTCCTTTGACAGAAAAGATTATGAACATATAATTATATAAATAAGTAGATAGATATAATATGTACACTAAACATATATATGCATACATATGCCACATGGCACATATGTGCATATATACACATAATACAGTAAAGCCTTTTTCTAAGAAGGTCAAGCCATGACTCGTATGAATATATAGAAGTGAAATGTGTTAAAAGATTTTTTACTCAATGATACAACAGAACTAGGCAGATGTTATAATCGGTTCAAAAAAATCAAAAGAACAAACATTAATATGGAATAAAAGAATATTAAGATAAATTCCTATAAAGACAAACTAAGTTTTGGGAGTAGCAAGTCAATTAAAACATTAATAGACAAGACAGAATTTACAAAACTTTTCATAATCAACAACTTTAAAATGTTACACAAGAGCTCAAAAACAATGACAATGTTTGGAAACTGATAACCGGGAAGGGTACGCTTCAGACAATGAATAGTTTTTCACTGGAACACAACTTGTTTTTATACAACGCACAATAGTGGGTGGGTGTGTACTTTAAAAACTGTGCTAACAGTTTTCTCTGAAGGTATTGACAAAAAACAAATGAAGAAGAGTAGTATTAGGGGCAAAAGTGTAAGAAACAGACACTCAACAATAGAAAGCAAAATTGCTGCAAAATCATTGGTAGGGATTTGGTGATATTTTATGAATTTTTATAATTATGTAGTTTTTAACATAGCAAGCCTACTTCTGGAAATTTGTCTTACACAAACACAGGCACATGGGTACAAACGTGCACACACACACAACATTGACTCTTGGCTTTGTTATTTTAAGGTTTTATTTATTTATCTTTAGAGAGAAGGGAAGGGAAGGAGTAAAAGAGGTAAAGAAACACTGATGTGTGGGGGGTGTCACACCCCAACTGTGCACCTGGCCCACAACCCAGGCATGTTGTATCCTGCTGGGACTCGAACCAGCAAACTTTCGGTTTGCAGGCCCTCAGTCCACTGAGCCACATCAGCCAGGGTTACTCCTGGTTTTTAAAATAATAATAAAAGGCCGAAACAATGTATATATTCATCAGTTTGTGAGGGATAAATAAACTGTGGTAGAGTTATACAATAAAATATTTTATGGCAAATTTTAAAATGTGACAGATCTATATGTACTCTATATAATGATCTTCAAAATAAAATCTTTAGTGAGAAATATAAGATTCATATAATGTAAGTAGATATAAATAAGTAAATCTATTATTTTCCTCATGCTTGCACTTGTTCTGTTTAGTGTCTGCAGTATTATACCTTGTAAATGTCTTTTTTACATAACTTGTCCTAAGGTTGTGTTTTCATCAACCTCCTAGCAGAGCGGTGGACTTGCTGTTTTTTTGCTTCCAGCATATATGTTGCTCCTATTTTGTTGCTGTTATTTTGTGGAATTGTGTAAAATGTTAGGATATTACCCATATTTCCTTGGGGAAATGAGCTTTTGAGTTGGCCCACAAAATAGCATAATGCTCTTTGGGTTTTGGTTTCTTAGCCTTTCAGTTAAGACTGAAAAACAACCTGAAATGATATTTCAAAATCTATAAAATGTGCAAAATATTAAGAGAAATGCCATTGTCCACAAAGGTTTAGAGAGCGTGTTGCTTGATGAGCGCAAGGGTGCGGTAGTTCTCAGTGCAGTGCTATGATGTTCACGGCCAACTTTGGCCCAAGAGAATGAATGCAGTACATTTCTAATTAGACTTTCTTACATGGGAGAGATAAATCATATTTTAATCTCTGACATATAGCACTTTAGTATTCTGACCTTTTAGTGAAGGTACATGCTTGATCAGAAAGCACTTGAAACACCCTTACCTTTGGTAGGCAGAGTTGTAAATGGTAAAAGCAATGAAATGAGCCCCCTCCCTCAATAGACTCTCCAAAGGTCAAGATAAAGTAGCCCATCTATTTAACTGCCCAAATATACAAGACATTTGCCCTAGCGCAAGGCACAAGTTTTGTGGTAAGAACCACAAGACAAAAGCACTGGCACTACATTAAGGGAGTTTAGTCTGTATTAATAAGATAAAATCCCACACATTTATGTATACACATATATGTCATATTCTAGAAACTATAATTATATAGGTTATTCTTCTTTCCCAACACATAATAATAATTTTTAATCTAAAAAATTTACAAACGCTCTATTGGATTAATTTTAAAAGGTTGTCAGTGACTTAGAAAAGTTTCATCAGCAGAAAGCAAGGGATTTCTAATTGCTTCTTAAATGAAAAAAAATTGGCTCACTAAAGTCTGTTGTTGTTTTGCTTTTTCTGTGAGAATTAATGGTTTGTTTTCAAGCTGTTGAGTCATTAAGCTTCCTGGTATTAGACTTTTTTTATATCACTGTCTGTAAAGGCCACCTTCAGAACTGTCACTTCTGCGCAAATATGTGAATTTCAAAAAGAAAATTCCTTCAAAAAACTATTGGCTTGAAAAATGATGGAAAGAAAGTATAAGCAGAAAAAAAATGTATCATTAGACTTTCTTATATAGTATGTTATTAAATTATATTGGGACCTACTGATTACTTGATGGAACTTTGTAAATTTTTGAAATATTTTATTCACTTCATTATTTAAAACATAAACAATAATCCAAAAGAACCTATGAACCCCAATGTTCATAGCAGCACAATTTACAATAACCAAGAGGTGGAAGCAACCTAGGTGCTCGTCAGTAAATGAATGGATCCAAAAACTATGGTACATTTACACAATGGAATTTTATGCAGCAGAAAGAAAGAAGGAGCTCTTACCCTTCACAATAGCATGGATAGAACTGGAAAGCATTATGCTGAGTGAA